AGAAGGTATAAGTAACTCATAAAGCCTGAGCATCGGAAATTTTTGTCATACTTTGTTTAAATTGTCAATTATCAATTAACTTTTAAGAAAAATTACACATTTAGGATAACCGAATAATTTACATTAAAACAATATTTTCTATCGTACAAATTTTAATGAAACTTAATTACACGACTAAGTACATATTCCTTTTTACGAAAAAGTCCTAAAATTACAAAAAAAAAATCTTAAAATTAACTCAATGAAAAATATTCAACGCGCATGATAATAACTGTTTAAAAACTATCGAAAAACACAAAAATTCAATAAAAAATCTATTCTACATTATAAAACATGCTCAAAATGAAATCCATTTGCCATTGCAAAATCCGTAAACAAAAATAATATCAGCATATTCAGTAATTGAATATTTGAATGGCATTTTTAATGAAAAAAGTGTTATCAATTATAGTAACACACAACGATTCAATTCTTAATTATTGACGAAAGAATGAAACCAAATGTCAAAATGCAAAAACAAAGTAAGAATTATATATTTTGAATCCGAAACACCGTTTTTAAAAAATACAATTTTATTGTTAAACAATGTATCGAACCCAATGGTTCTGAAGTCTGAAGAAGAGTGAATTAAAATTAACAAATCAAGAGCTAAATTCAAATAAAATGATTACATATTATAAAATACAAAGAACAAAGAAAATTAACTATAAGCATTCCTTGGATATCTCCTAGATTTGACCGGACGTTCTTATCTATGAAACCTTGCGTTTTCTTCACACGTAACTTAAGGGTTAATTTGTCATAGACTATATTCATTGTATCTAATTTAACATACAGAAAAAATAATTAGAGAATATTATTGATTTTTTTTTTTTGTAATTTTAGGACTTTTTCATAAAAAGGAATATGTAATTAGTCGTTTTTATTAATTTTTATTTATAAAATTTGTACGATAGAAAATATTATTTTAATGTAAATTATTCGTTTATCATAAATGTGTAATTTTTCTTAAAAGTCAATTGATAATTGACAATTTAAACAAAGTGTGGCAAAAATTTCCGATGCTCAGGCTTTATGAGTTACTTATACCTTCTACATTAACCAAATGAAAATAGAGAAAAAGTGTATACAGGGTGAAATATTAAGTTTGGAAACATTTACCTCTTTTTTTTGAAGACGGTCCTGAAATTTTATAATTCTAAAAATGCCAGTGTGTTGCTGGTTCCAAATTTATAATTTTATTAAAAAATAAACCAAATCAAAATACCCACCATAAAGATATAAACAAAAGAAACTTTTGTCAAAATTCATAAATCACCCTGTATCTCCTTAGAGAAGAGGCGGATGGAACTTTTAATAGTCGTATGATATTCACCTCAAATACCTCTATACACTGTTAAAGTATGTACGATTCCTCACGACTCACCCTGTATAAAGGGTAAGAGTGATCCGATTGTACGTATGTAAAACAATATCCATCATACCTATAATTACAAATATTGTCGAATCGTGCAAGCTATCAAAATGAAACGAAATACCGTAGTTGTTCAATTTATACACCAGTGTTCGATATACCTGATTCTCCACTACTAATTAAACATCCCTAAAGTAAAGTTTAGTAATGAAATGATGTTTTTCTTTGGTTTCGTATAAATTTAATTTGCTTTGGTGTGCATTCTGATGATAATGCTTTGTAGTTTAGTGGAGTTGAGTCGAGTTAACTAAGCGATTAAATTCCTAGTTAAGAGCTGAGGGAATTCGTAAAAAAAATACCGACAAATCGAGCGGTTGTTTTAGATGACAATAAATCATGGAATGAAGGTATTTTTTGTGGAATCCAGCGGCGCCGGTGCCGCAAAAGATCGCCGATATTTATACATACCGTCGATTTTTTTCCGATACGTCATTAATACAAACTGTTTCGACTGTCGTCGAATCGCTCGCTTCGCTATTCCCACGCAAAATAATTTAATTTAAAACAATACATTAAACTATTTTCAATTTGTAATTATCTGAATCTCGGCGGGACCCTGATGTATATTTATTAAAAGTTTCCGAGGCGAACAAAACGCGCCTCGCCTTCTGATGATTATTTGTGCATCATTTTCGAGTCCCGACTGCGGATTTAGAGTGCATATTTTATCGATATATCTTAGTTGTCAGCGCGACGCATTAGAAATTCTAAAATATTCCATCTGGCGGATGATTTATGCGCCGTATAGATGCCGACGGTGCTGCTCCAAATGCCCGGATTCGGCTTCCGTTCAAACCGTCCCGGAGCCACCCATAGGAAACTAAATAAATATATCTCTACGTATATATCTTCATATAGGCACTGAGTTGATTACATTAAACTCAATTGTGAAAGACTTTTCTTCATAACAAATATAAAATAATTGATAATAGAGAATGGTGGGTATTATAATGAAAATTTGAAACTCTGCATGGCCTTTAATTCTTCGGGTTTTCAATTGGTTAAATCACTATACCATACAATACCACGATAGGTACCTACATGATCCCCATATTCAATTTTTACGCTCTAAAATTGGGCAAAAAAAACAATCTTCTAGAGCCGCGTAACATTATAATTATAAAATAAATAGTCCATAAAATAATCATCAATCACCCAACCGAATCGACGGCGCTGATGAATTCGGAATTTTCATTAAACGGCCGGCTAGTTTTATGAAAATTCGTATGTTAATGAATGCAAATCGTCCGCCATTACGGCAGAAACGGCCACCGCTAGGCCCGTTTACACTTTACGAGATATTAATTGTGAACAACCATTATTATTACGTCATTAGCACTTCGCGAACGGCTTTTTATTAGTCTAGCGGCTTCGAATTAATTTGAATTTATTTGGGGAGTTATGTACTTTGTTATTCTCGAATAAAGTGCGCCCGACAAGAAGCGTATCGTCATTATTTCAATTTCGAGCGAGGGTTTGCGAAACAAAAAGAAATAACAGCTTGAATTTAAATTTGTAAAAAAATCATTACGAAACTAGAATTATATAGGTACCTATACAACTTATATTTTTGATTATTTTTAGAATCAAAAATTTTTGATACCGGTCTACTTGAGTATAATGTCTCCCTAATAAATTGTCTAATCGCAGATTTGCATAAAGTGACATAAATGATGTGATATAAACTACAAAGAATAAAATTTCTACAAAGCAACTTCTTCCTAAAGGAACCTTTGACATTAGGGAAATGTTAAAAGGACACTTTATCAAAAAGCTATACCTTTTCTTGAAGGATATCTTTACCCTAACCCTTTAGAAATATACATCATACATAACCTACTAAGTAATTGTTACTAAGTACTAAGTACTAGTACTAGTACTAGGTACTCGTAATTACCTATGTATGCGGTTTGATATTTGTTATAATTCCATAGAATCGTATTAAATTAAATACCCAGAAACTGCACCAAATTACCATATCAGACCACCACCTAATTTTACATGTAGGAGCAAGTGAAATTTTTTGTATCGGCAAGCCTCCTCGGAAATATCCTGTGACGGATTTATCCACTTTCGAAGCGAAACTCCGGCTAATTGAATTATTTTTTTTCCTTCGGGTTTTTTTCCTCGCGGACCGCTTTACCGAGTGATTCGATTCCGATACGCCCAAATGACTCTCGCTGATTAAATCTATAATCTATGCCACCCCTGATGCGCGTTTGCCGGAATTAAATCCAGCCCGGAAATTACCGATCGAGAAACAATTGAGGAATTCTTCCGGTCGGAATTAAAGCGGGAGGGTGTTAGTTGTGAGAAGTTATTTATAGATAAATATATTATTAAACATAAACATAAATAATAAACATAAATAAAGAACATTCAAATTATACAAGGTTACTTTACATACAGGTAAATAAGTAGGTATTTACTTTCAATTAACAGTCTAACAAATGTATGTAGGTATGTAGGTATTATGTGTAATATATTTTATTTAAACAGCACCTATATAGGATAATTTATTATTAGATTATAGTAAATTTTAGTAAAATCCTTCTAACTTCACATTTTTTAATTTACTACACCTATACATTTAAAGTATTAGATCCAGTGTAAATGACCATAAATTTCGAATGGAAAGATTAAATGCAAAACAACAATAATAGTCAATTAGTTGTACTATTATAAAACTGTACTAAACAATTAGTTTAATAAATGCTGAACATTACGTGCGCACATAAGCTATTTATCTAATATACATATGCATAATATGGTGCAAAGTCCTTGAGCAAGAAAATATACAGGGTGTTTTACAACTTATCCAACAAATTTTAACCACATATGCACTGTTACGAGAGAAGTTGATTTCCCAAAAAAAATGTAATAAAAGTCTTACAGAAATCGAGATAATAAAATAGTAGTTTAACAGTTCAATTACTTATACAAGATGTTCACCATTTACTGCAATGCAAGTTTGGAAGCGTCTAATCCAATTTCGGCGTAATAATTGAAATACACCTCCTTTCTGCTGATTCTGAAGCCTCAAATTATCGACAGTCACTGTGATTCGGTCAGGCAATTCTTCAATATTCTGAACTGGAGTACGATATACCTCGTTTTTCAAATATCCCCACAGAAATTTTGAGAAATCAGCTTCTTTCATAACAGTGCATATGTGGTTAGAATTTGTCGGATAAGTTGTGAAACGCCCTGTATAAGTAAATAAAGTAGATATATAAAGTTACTATTTATGTACCTACCTTATTTAATTTAAATACATACATAAGTAACTTTTTATCATCGGAACAGTGGCGCTTTAGTACATATGATATATGGGATAGGAAACGAATCTCATCTAGAGTCGTTCAGGAAAAAATGTTAAAATATTAGCAGAGTAAAAAATAAACCACTCTTATTCAGACCAATACGTCAATATAAAATAAAAATTTACATTAATTTTAATTTATTTAAAATAAGCTACCGCTGATACGACCATGTTGAGTAAAGTTGAGTAAATCTACCATTTTATGCCAGTACATATTATGTAGATATTTATTCCTAGATACCGCAGAAAGTGTAGAGTCTCAATGTGAAAAATGTTAACTTTAGTAGTGATATTAATTTCCTTATTCCTTATTGCGGCATTTTTAAACGTTTATCTCTCTAAAGCTGCCTTCTTGGACATCAAAAGCAATGTGTGTTTGGTGAACAGAACTGCTTTGGTAACTGGAGGAAGCGCCGGTAACTTAAACTTCTTTACTTTATTATAAAATTATGCACCTATGTATACATCAAGGTGGAAACGCCAAATAGAATAAATTCATTATTTCGGTTAGATTACATATCCATGTATAGAAAATATTTTAGAAATGTTCATTTTTGAAATAATGAAGAGACCTTTTAAGCCGTATACAGTATAAAAAGTCGACAACATATGGAAAACTTTTTTATTTGCTTATAATTTTACGAAAAAAAGTTATTCTTTATAAAAATGTGCAATAAAATAAAACGCAAATGTCAGATGTCAATTTTTTAAATCGTAAACGAGTTTTGCCAAAAAATATGAATTTGATATAAGAGTAAAAGTATTATCGAAATAGAAAATTATGTTTAATATGCATTTTTTCAACTTTTTGAAGTACAATTTATGTACATTGACGTTTTCAATTTTGGTTACATTAGTTACAATAACATTTCAATTTCAACGGACACTAACTAGATGGAATGCATTATTTATTTCTCGAAAGCATTTACTAGACTAACTTTTGGTAGGAGAAATGTCACTGTCGAAGCCACCTAGATTTTAAATTATTTCATTTATTTTTGTGTATTACAGTAGAAAATACATTATTCTGTTGGGTATTACTTATTTATTACAGATTTTTAAGTTCATTGCTAAAATATTCTAAAACAACAAATAAACATTTGAGGTGTATTGACTTGTTAAATAAGATAAAAGTTGACGTGTTTTACAACTAAAATGTGCACAATTTAAATTAAATTGAAGTGGTCATGATATTCCTATTAATCTTTTGCAATTTGTACATCTAATGTCGAATGTAAATACCTAAATATTATTATTATCGAAAGCAGAGGTTTTCAAAAAGAACTTTTTTTTCGTAAAACTTACAATAACTAAGTTTCGTATATGTTCCCAACTTTTTCAGACATACTGTATATATGTATATGACAAGCCAATACTTTTTATTTAAAAATTTCGAGGTTGTAACTATTGTCAAGTGCGCCAAGGCGTCGAAGTCCGGCCAGGAAATGGCGATTATTGAACTTCGAACAATAACTGCGTTTATTGCAGATTAAGGGAAATATCGGGGAATAATTTCTATAAAGCTGAAGGGCATCGACACATCGTATGATTGTCGATCAACCGGGGAAATTTGATCAGTCATAAAAATTGTTTGCTGGCCGGCATTCGGGGTTGTTTTCTTGGAGTTTTCCTTTAAAACTTAATACATATCACGCTTAGGCTAACGCGAGAGTGAAGTATTGTCACTCTTGTAGAAAGTTTAATTTTGTATCGCGGGTGACCGATTGTTAATTACGATTCTTAGTGAGGCCCACCTCACATCCTCTGTTTATACATTTGTTATTTGTTTAATATACAGGGTGTCCAGAAAATAGAAGTCAATAACTCGCGAGCGTATAAATGACATCAAAATAAGGGTATATCTTCATAAAAATTTTGTTAATTTGAGCATCCATTTTTGAGCTAGAGGCCTTTATAGTTGAAAATTTAAAACTTATTTTTACGTTTTATTTCCAAGTTATACATGATGGGAACATTATAAAAATTTTGTGGTTCATTACCTACATCCGTTTGCCCAATTTGGTAATAAAATGAATCCTACACTATTCTCTGGAAGACAGTGGCAGCGTGTGCCCCGTGATTAACAATTCGTATCATTAATGGGGACAATCTGTATAACACAAACGTATCGTAAATACATTCTTTAATCGATAAACTAACAAAAATGTACTCTTGTTTGAAGTCGATAAATTTAACGGTTTTAGAGAAATTTTCATTTTTAGATTGAGATGATGGGTAAAGAGAGATTTTCGGATAAACAAAAATTTTGGACAAACTCCTATTATTTGTAACTATTTACTAAAAATATTGAAAGACAACAATAGAGACAATCTTGGAATTTCTTCAGATTTAGGTACCACATCTTTTAGACGAAATTCCACTAAATCAAGAGATGAATTTAATGGACAGAATAATTTTTCATTGTAAAATCAAGAAATACCTTTTGAGTAGGTACAAAGAAATATTCTCCTTATGTTTCATAAGTGTTTCATAAGTGTTTTCAACGAAAGGGTTCCCATATCGAACATTTATTATAATCTTTAAGTTTGGCGATTTTTCTATAAATATAATAAATATCTACACTAATCGAAATAATGAATTTATACCAATTTAGCGTTTCCACACTGTATAATTTATTAAGTTTTCTATATTCTAATGCGAAATACGAATTTTTGCAGGTATTGGATACCAATTTGTTCTCAAATTGGCCGCAAGAGGATGCAGAGTGATAATAGCCGATATAGTGGTGAACGAGGGAATAAAGGAATCGATTATAAAAGAAACTCACAATTCAAATATTGTTTTGCATTATGTAGACTTTAGTTCATTTGCATCGGTAAGAAAATTAGCTGATGAATTGAAGAGAACTGAAGAAAAAATCGATATATTAGTGAATAATGCTGGTATCGGATTGTGCACTGATAAACTCACAGAAGATGGTTTGAATTTAACTATGCAAGTTAATTATTACAGTCATTTCTTAATAACGCATTTATTAATTGGTAAGTCACATTTAACGAGCTCCAAATACTAAAGCCAATTTTTCAGAGCTTCAAAAAATGAGTTCATTATTTTGCAGCGCAATACCTACAAACAATAATAAAGTCATCTCTTTTAAAAATCGTATTGTTGCAGATCTAATTAAAAAATCGGACTACAAGAGAATCCTTTTCACATCATCGTTGCTCTGTTACTCTCACTTGCTCTATTCGGGTAATGTGACGTCGCAGGAAATAAAAAATCTGCCTTACTATTTACGATTGTTTGATTACTCTGCGACAAAATTTTTGGCGGTAGTCGCCGCAAAAATGTTTGCTAAAAAATTGAGCAAATGGAATATCATGTGCAATGCCTATCACCCTGGAGCTGCTAAAACTGCAATTTGGCTTAATACGGAAGATATAATAAAAGGTTATCCCAAAATCTTTCAGTCGATTTTGAGGTTATTTGGATTTTTTATTCCAACATTTTGTGGAGTGGTAAGTATTTCTTTTTTAATGTCAAAACAACCAAACAACCTTATTTGCAAAAATTCTTTAGAATTAACCGATGTAAAGAATGCCACTAAAAAAATTGTAGATATTTATACTAATTATGATTTTTTCTACTAATAAATATTTTTTTTTATTTTTGATTGCTATTTCAGGAACCAGAAAAAGCTTGTAGCACTGGTGTGGAATTAGTACTTTCTAATAAATTTAAAAATATGACGGGTAAATTTTATGGAAGAGTTTTTCGTAATTTGATGCCTAGGAAAACAAATGACGAATTATTCTGCGAAAAAATATGGAAAGCTTCGGAGAACATGGTGAAACTTAAACCTGAAGAACGGCTAGAATAAAACCTTTTTTTTTAATAGATTTTTTGTAATTTTCTAATTTGAATTGTGTTAGTGCACATGATGCACCTCAGTTAATCCTAAGTTAAGAAGGGAGTTGTCAAAAACAACATACATATCGTTTTATATACCACGGTCTTACATACAGTGTGTGACACGAAGAGGGCCCATTGGAAGTATCTGAAAAAGTAGTTGTAATTAAAATTTGAAAATTTGTGTACAAGTATTAGTCGATGCGCTCTATTCAATGAAAATATTTTCAACTTTTCTTTAATTCCGGTTATACCGGAAATGGACAGCAACTTTGTTATTTTAAATGGGACACCCCATATATTATTATATATTTTCGAAATGTACGCAAAATTTTAGAGTGCTTTTGTCTAAAAAACTTTTTTCAAAAATGCATACTTTTTGAGTTACTAATTTTTTTTTGAAAAATTTGACCGATGCAGACCCTTATAAATTATTTTTTTACGGGGATCCCTTTAAAGATATGAAAACGGTTTCTGTAGGGTGGCCACTAGCAAGGTCAAAGGTATTTGAATCTGTATTAAAAACTTTTCTATTTTATACAGGGTGTACACAAAACATGTGAAAAGTTGAACTTCAAAAATACCAAATTATTTCATTTTTTTAAATGGAACCACCCATTTTTTTCTATTTTATTGAAATCAACGATAAAAATAAGGAAAGTTCATGTTTACTTCCCTATACCTAAACCTAATAGTTTTGAAGATATTGAATATCTTACATAAATCTTACTTTTCTGCCTTATTCTTAATTAACTCTTAATTAACAAAATTAATAATCAATTAATTACAAACAATTACTTTGCTTTGGTGTCAGTTTTAAATAATTATTTAGGGATTTGCAATCGGAATTAAACTTTCCACGTATTGAAAATATTAAATAAGTACTTTTGTGTCCAATTTAATTGAAATGTAATTGTAATTGTAACGAAAGGAGTAATTGAATTACAAATGAATTACAATTGAGGAGCTTGTAATTAATTACCGACTCAATTACAATAAAAGTAATTCAATTACTTTTTCAATTACTTGTAATTAATTACTTAACAACACTACCTATAGGTATGTATATTGAGAATGACTATATACTTAAATAAAAAATCTCTTTAAATGTTTCAAAGTATTTGTATAAACGATTAGAAAAACAGCTCATTTATTTCTACTTAAAAAAAAAATATGATAAAATGTTGAAATACATCCATAAAAATTCATTAACACTCATATCAAAATAATCGAAAAAAAAATTAATGATATGTTCAATTTATCTAAAATTCAGGGCCGCCGGTAGGACCCTGACCTTTTTTGAATACGTTTGGTATGTTATTTAGTCAGTATATTTTTGGATACCGCGGACAGTACAAGAAAAATGTTAGCTTTAATAGTAATAGTAATTTCTTTATTAATTATCGCCGCATTTGCTTTTGTTTTTATCTCTCGAACGGCCTTCTTGGATATCGAAAGCAACGTTTCTTTGGTAAATAAAACTGCTTTGGTTACTGGAGGAAGCGGAGGTAATTTAAATTTCTATATACCTTAGGTATTATTTATTCTGTATTCGGATAAGTTTGATATTCACATTGTAGGTATTGGTTACCAAATCGTTCTGAAATTGGCTGCAAGAGGATGCAGAGTGATAATAGCAGATATAGTGGTAAACGATAAAATAAAGGAGTCGATTATAAAAGAAACTCACAATACAAATATAGTTTTGCATTATGTAGACTTTAGTTCATTTGCATCGATAAGGAAATTCGCCGATGAATTGAGAAGAACTGAAGAAAAAATCGATATATTAGTGAATAATGTTGGTATCGGATTGTGCACTGATAAACTCACAGAAGATGGCTTGAATTTAACTATGCAAGTTAATTATTTCAGTCACTTCTTAATAACGCATTTGTTGATTGGTAAGTTGAATTTTGAAATAAAACTACTTTTAACCTTGCCATCATCTTAAGCCGGGTGGCCTATTTAAAACAGTTCACCTGAAATATTATTTTCTTTCTACTAGATACAAACATAGATAATTTAAATAATTTTAATATTGTGGCATGATCACAGCTAGTAACAAATTTTAATTTGTTATTATTTTGTTTATCGGTTCAATTAAAAAAACCGGTATCTTAAATGACGACAAGGTCTCTAAATTGAACGGATTCTAAAAAACATTAATGTATAATTAACATATGTGATTAACATACATGTAAACAAAAAATTCATACAGTTTAATAATTACACAGATTCTTAGGTATCTATAATAAACCATATAAGAATATTTTCGGTTGATAATTAAGTCATAAATATTCTTTTTATGATTCCCGTCACTTTTTACGTCACTCTACGTCAATCTTTTTTCATTGATTAAAAATTATTTGAAAAATACTTCCGACAATTATTGATTAATTCAATTGATTAACTCGGTTTTGATATTCATATTGCAAGTACCAAAATTAACAATCAATTATTCAAGAACAATTTTCATGGCCAACTTATAAAACCGGTTATTAGGTTTAGGTATAGGGAAGTAACCATGAACTTCCCTTATTTTTGACCGCTAATTTCATTAAAATAGAAAAAAAATGGGTGGTTCGATTTAAAATAATGAAGAAATTTGTTATTTTTGAAGTTCAACTTTAAACAATTTTTATACACACAGGTTCAGACACCTTTGACCATTCTCGTGTAAGTATAAGTTTGGTCTACCACGGAAAGACGAGACACTTTGTATAAATGTAACTAATTTAAAAATGTGCAGCTTAAAAAGATCTACAAGTTTTGTAATAAAGTTTTTTTGATATCTTCCACAATAACAGATACATTGGACTTTTCCATATAGACCCAAAGTTGAGCATACGCAAAATTTTAAAATATTTTCTTTTACATAGAAATAGAAAATTTTATTACAATTGCATAAAGTGGTATACATATATTTATACCACTTGTATACAGATATTTTTTTTATTTTATTTTTTTGGAAAATTTGTTTTTTTATGTATTTATAGGCTAAATAATTAAAAACATTAAAAAATTTTGCTATTTTAATGTTTGGTCCTTAATAGGTTAATGTGCCACCCTGTATTTTATTTATTCTTGCTAACTCGTAAGGATGTTATTATATTTCATTATTCATATCTAATTAGGATGAAATAAAATTCAATGTTCATATTTTTTTATACAATTACAATAAAGTGGCCACAAATGAACATCGTTTTGTTGCAGATCTAATAAAAAAATCGGACCACAAGAGAGTCGTTTTCACATCATCCATGCTCAGTTACTCTCACTTGCTCTATTCGGGCAACGTAACATCGAAGGAAATAAAAAATTTGCCGTCCTGTTTGCGATTCATGGATTACTCTACGACAAAATTTTTGGCGGTCGTCGCCGCGAAAATGTTCGCAAAAAAATTGAGCAAATGGAATATCATTTGCAATGCCTATCACCCCGGTGTTGCTAAAACTGGAATTTGGCAGAAAGCGGAAGAAGTAGTCACATCAGGTTTTCCCAAAAGCATTCAATCAGTTGTAATGTTTTTCACCTTTATAACTAACGGGCTTTGTGGAGTTGTGAGTATAAATGAGATTTTAAATATTTAAAGTATTTTTTTATTTAGATATACAGGGTGTCTCAAAATAACTATTCCTAATTATGCCTAACTATGCTAAGGGCACTTAAATAAACATTTTTTATCAATACACTAGTGTCCGAAAATGTGTCGGTGCCAAGGAAAATTAGAGGCCTTTAAAAACAATCTCGATTTTTACAGCAGGAGACACCCTGTAGATATGTAGATATGTAGGTAAATTATAATTTTTGATTGTTGTTTTAGGATGCGGTAAAAGCTTGTACCACTGGTGTAGAATTAGCAATTTCGGATAAATTCAAGAACACGACGGGTCAATTTTACGGTAAATACTTTCCCCATTTAGTGCCCAGGAAAACTAATAACGAATTATTCTGCGAGACAATATGGAAAGCTTCGGAGAACATGGTCAAACTTAAACCTGAAGAACGGCTGGAATAAGTAAACATTTTATTAAACAGCATTAAGAACATTTTTTATATTTGCCTAGTAAATTAAATTTCTAATATAAATTGTGTTAAACGTAGTAAAAATTAATCTCGATAACAGCCTTCAATGCCGGTTATAATATCCTGCAGTATGATTTTGTGTTATTTGCTTATCGAAATTAAAGAAATATCCATCAAGCACGTAGTATTTTTCCACAAACAAATATGATTTTAACGTTCTTTATAGTTTTATTAATTTTTTGTTACGCGTTTTTTTACATAATTTTTAAATTCGGGGACGTACGGATCAAAAGCAATGTATGCTTGAATGGTAAAACCGCTTTAATTACCGGTGGAAGTTCAGGTAAGTCTCACAGTATTACCTACATACCTAGATAAATAACAATAGGTGATGCAAATCTTTACTTAAACTCACCTTTAAGGTGAGTTCACCAACAAATCAATTGAAAAGTAGATATTATATAGGGTGTTGATTAATTGAGTGATGATACTTTAGAATGTGAATATTCGAATGATTTTAAGAAGAAAAGTTTATATCAATATACACCTAAACCTTTTAGTTTTCAAATCATTTTCTTAATACTTCAGATATTTTTATTAAATTTTATACACACTTTTTAATTATTAACGAGCATTTTTGAAGCGAAAGATTTTAAAAAAATATTCACCAGTGACGTTCGTACAGAGCTTGAACTAAATAGGCTTGAACAAAAAATGGTGCGCCACTGCTTTTTCTAAAAACTAAAATTATTTTTAAAATCCTCCATTATTTTGGAGCAATTTTGGTCTGAAGACTTACTTTCGTTCAGCGAACCATTTTCGCTTAAAAAAATAAAAACCAAAACAATTTTTCTTAAGTTCATTTTGAGACTGCTTTTGATATTTTGTTGAAATTTGGTAGGCGCCCACCATGCATGAAAACACTTTTTTTGGGGAGACAAAATTTAATTTTCTACTATTACCAGTGACGTCCACGTCCGAAATTTCATAAAAATATTTGGAATAAAAAAAAATTGACAGAAGCTATGTATTTTCTAAAACTGTAACACCCTGTAGACGAAAAAAAAAAGTTTAGGAAAAAAACTTTTCGTCCTAAAATTATCCAAATATTCTCATCCTGAAGTATCGGCACTCAATTGAATTGAGAGTAATTATTGAGAGGAATTATATCTAACGAAAATAAAATTTATAAAATATTTCATGCGATTTCTTTTTCCAAAAATAATTTCTGGCAAATGAGTAATGTGAGATACATATATATACATACCCATTTTTATAAGATTACATATGTAGTTGAAATTTGAGAATTATAATATATTTGGATAAATATTGCAATTTAGCATTCTATGTTTTGCGTTCTAAAATATGATCTCATACTTCGGGAAATTGCTAAAATAATCGCCGTTTCAATTAATTTTATATTTGAAATAAACATTTTTATTGCTTACCTATTGTTTCATGCCTTAATATAAATTTTATCGTCATGTTGATAGGAAATATAATTTTAATTATGTACCTAGTTATTTTTTTTAAGTTTAAATAATACGTAAAAAGACATTTTCCTATAGTTTTCTTTCAACAAACAAATACCCCTTTACCAAAATAATTAAGTCCTAATGTTATACTAATCGAATTCAAGAATACTTCTTATTTACCTTTATGTATAAATTATTTTTAATTTAATTTTCCCAGGTTTGGGATTCCAGATAGCTCTGAAATTATCCTCGAGAGGATGTCGAGTCCTGATAGCCGATAAATTGGTGAATCCGGAGATTAAAAACGCGATAATCGACGCAACAGGCAATCCCGACGTCATTTTGCATCAAGTCGATTTCGGATCGTTCAAAAGCGTAAGAGAATTGGTCAAGGTTCTAAAGAAATCAGAAAGCAAATTAGACATTCTAATTAATAACGTCGGCATCGGCATTTGCAGCGAAAAACCCACCGAAGACGGCTTGAACTTGACTATGCAAGTTAATTATTACAGCCCGTTTTTGTTGACGCATTTACTTGTAGGTAAGCGCTTAAAATAAATTCCCATGTAGATGGGTTATATGGTAACTTTTAGAGCTAGGTACTCTACATACGATACATTGTAACCCAAAGAAGGAAGCTGTAAGTATTGGTTAAATATAGGGTAGAATTTATACAATCGGGATGACATTAAACTCTGGTAAAATAGGATTTTGAATTCTTTGTTTTTTCAAAATACATTTCCATGTTTAATTTAATTAGTAAAGTAAACTTATTCTGTTCAGAGATGCAATGTGAGATATACTTCATAATATTACAGTTATGATAAGGCTCAAAAATTTTCTTTACTTTCATCTATTTATAAATTATCTAGGAAACAAACATATTCAGTTTAAATCCCGTACGGACGTCATTGGTAAAAATTAAAAAAAAATCTTTTGCCTCAAAAAAATACTACTAAAAAGTGTACAAAATTTCATAAAAATATCTGAAGTATTAAGAAAATGATTTGAAAACTAAAAGGTTTAGGTGTATATTGATATAAACTTTTCTTCTTAAAATCATCCAACCATTCACATCCTGAAGTATCGGCACTCAATTAATTAACACCCTGTAGAGGTCTATTATACAATCAATATACACATCAGTTGTTCATTTAACAAAAATATACCTATACTCTCAACTCAACCACATACAGTGTGTGTCACGACAAGGGCCCATTTGAAGTATCTGGAAAAGTTGTAAACAAAATTTGTAAATTTGTGTACAACTATTAGTCGATGCGCTCTATTCGATGAAAATATTTTAAACTTGGACAGCAACTTTGTTATTTTAAACAGGACACCCCATATATTAATATATTTTCGAAATGTACGCAAAATTTTAGAGTGCTTTTGTCTAAAAATTTTTTTCAAAAATGCATACTTTTTGAGTTACTAATTTTTTTTTTAAAAATTTGACCGATGCAGACCCTTATAAATTATTTTTTTACGGAGATTGGTTTTACAAGTTGGCTATGTAATATCTCACAAGTACCAAAATTAATAATCAACTAATTACAAACCATTTCCATGGCCAACTTGTAAAAACGGATTATTTAAGAATAAGGCAGAAAAGTAAGATTTAAGTAAAATTTTTAATATCATCAAACCTATTAGGTTTAGGTATAGGGAAGTAAACATGAACTTTCCTTATTTTTTATCGCTGATTTCAATAAAATAGAAAAAAATGGGTGGTTCCATTTAAAAAAATGAAATAATTTGGTATTTTTGAAGTTCAACTTTTCACATGTTTTGTATACACCCTGTATAAAATAAAAAGTTTTTTAACATAAATTCAAATACCTCTCACCTTGCTAGTGGCCACCCTACAGAAACCGTATCCATATCTTTAAAGGGATCCCCATAAAAAAATTATTTATACGGGTCTGCATCGGTTAAATTTTTCAAAAAAAAATTAGTAACTCAAAAAGTATGCATTTTTGAAAAAAGTTTTTTAGACAAAAGCATTCTTAAATTTTGCGTACATTTCGAAAATATATTAATATATGGGGTGTCCTATTTAAAATAACAAAGTTGCTGTCCACTTCCGGTATAACCGGAAGTAGAGAAAAGTTGAAAATATTTTCATTGAATAGAGCGCATTGACTAATACTTGTACACATATTTTCAAATTTTAATTACAACTACTTTTCCAGATACTTCTAATGGGCCCTCGTCGTGACACACACTGTATCGCTTTCCCATTTTTACAGTTTTAAAAATTTTACCACATAATTGTTTTTAGATCTCCTAAAAAAATCACATCAAGGACGAGTACTTTTCACCGCCTCCATAGCATCCTACCTGCACATACTACATCAAGGATCCATAACAAGCAGCACCATCAGGAACCCACCGTCCTTTTTCCGAGTGTTCGATTATCCGAACTCGAAATTTTGCGATGTGGTGGCTGCTAAAATGTTCGCTAGAAAATTGAAACGCTGGAATATCACATCAAACGTGTACCATCCAGGCCTGGCAAACACTTCAATGTGGTCCACATCGCAAAGCCAAATGCACGGTATTTTTGGAACAATCACTTCTTATATTGCCTTGACGCCTATTCATGCATTATTTGGAATTGTAAGTAAAATACTTGTTACATATTCACGGTACCCACACAGTACCTCATATAAACGGCAGATATAGGTACTAAAATAGTTTTTGGTGATTGTATAAAGGATGCGGACAGGGCTTGTCAAGCAGCCGTTGAGTTATCTATATCTAAGGAATTTAGCTATGTGAGTGGAATATTCTTCGGAAAATACTTCCCAAATTTCGTTCCTCGAGCCACTGATGACGAGGAATTGTGCAGCAAAATCTGGCAAGCCACCGAAAACATCGTTAAACTTAAACCAGAAGAGAAACTGCAATAGGTTTAAATGCTCTCTTTATGTTACTGTTATTCGACAATAAAATAATATCCAACCACTTTGTTGCTCGAGTTCTTGAACCCTCTGCTGCGACGCCACTGGAATTAAAATTCAAAATCTAATTTCGTGACAAGAAGCCCTTTATTATTGCTAACAAACAAACTAAGTTTAAGCAAAATGTGCGAAGAGAATTTTGTTACTCGGAAACGAAGCAAATTAGGACACACGTTTATATCAACTTTTCTTCATAAAATATGACAAGGAAACACTCCCTAAATTAAAGTTATCATTTAAGTGACACCCTGTATTTACGGCAGCCTTTTTTAGTTTTCTGCAACGCGCGATCTAATTTTTTCAAAAGTTTTTCAATCCAAAAAATACTATTTTATTTGAAAGTGGATAAGGCCACGAGGAAAGTAAGTCACGTTGCAATTATTTATAATGTTTTAATATTCTATAATATTCCAATTTAATCTCCAAATGAGTAAGTATCAAAATATGGACCAGTGGCATATTTTAAATATGGAGTGGCTAAAATTAATTTTTATGTTCTGGAATGGCTTCTAAAACAATAGAAAAGACCAGACATGAGGCAAGCATGTGATAAAAAACGCAATGGCGGAGACAATTAAAAATGCACGAAAAAAGAAAATGGGCTTTTTGAATGCTTCGAAAACATACACCCAAAACAAATCACTTAATGATATCACCACCCAAAAACTTGGGAGACAGTCAGGAGTGAATTGGAAGATGAATTAGTCAATTATATTCTAGAAATGGAAAAATCTGGGTGTGGTCCATATTATATTCACTTTCTGAAAGTTCATAAAAATGATATACTTTAGAAAATATTCTTTATTTCAAAGAGTTTGTTTTTTTGGAGAATGTTATTATAAGTTTTTCTTAACTAAATGGTTAAGGAATTGTTTAATACAAATAAAGCTGATTAAATTTTAATAGTTTTATTTAGTTTTCGGTTGTTTAGTTCTCATTGTAGTTTGGTACCGATATGGATATGGATTCGATATGGATATTGTACTCCAACAAGATGGAGCACCACCACATTACTCCAGATAAGTAAGGAACTATTTGGATGCTATTTTCCATAGTCATTGGATTGGTCGTCGAGGTCCTTCCGGAATGGCCAGCCCGTTCGCCAGATTTGACACCTTTAGACTTTTTTTATGGGGCTATTTGAAGCAAAATGTGTACGAAACAGAACCTGCTTCAATATTGGATATACGAGAAATAATTACAGATATTTGTAGAAATATCGACGTTACTATGTTCGAAAATGTTCGGATAGGCTGTTCTTGTATCAAGAAGTTCAAGGCAACCATTTCGAGCATTTTTTGAACTGAACTCAGCTTATTTCCTCAAATTATGACGTTAAACGTTGATGTATTCAGGTAATTATTAAATGTCCGCCATTTTGTAGCAGGTGCAGATATTGACTTTATATTCCAGGGTTGTAGAGTATTTGTCAGGAGCTTCAAAATGATGTAACACAAGACCCCCCTTTCCATTTAAATTTATTTCTCAAGATGGCGCACAGTCGCGATCTTGAAATTTTCATCTGTCAATTTTACTTCAAAATATAGTAATCATGCATTAGTTTCATTATCCCAAATTTCAATTTTCTAAGTTGATGCGTTCAAAAAATAAAAGGGGGGAGGGGACATTAATGAAATGCACTGTATATGGCTAACTTACTCTAGCTGTTAAAAGGATTTTCGAATTTCTTTCTTCCTTCTTTTGTAACAATTGAATATTTGCTCTGACATGACAATATTATCGTTATCGTTAGAAGAAAAATCTCGATACGCAATCCACAGTCGAGATCCTCATCGTAACTAATAGGCTGGTGGACCGTGACGTGATGCCGGCGTGTACTTCGTAGGAACAACGGAGGATGGTACATTTTTTTTTTGTTCGTCCTGCCAGTCGGTTTCGGTGCCGGCGGTTCACCGCAGTAGCTGCCATTGTGAACGAGCCACACACTTCCCGCCTGTAATGAGGTACGTGCGATCAGGTACGCAGGAAAAAACGATTCATCACGCTTCACCAGGTCGCGGTTTAATAGTATAGGTAATATAGTTTACATGATCTCATCTTGTTCCAATTCAAACTTTAAGTTCTTAAATTGTTGATGCGACGTTGTTTATATTGTTTATAGAAGCACGACACGGGTTATAAACTTTTATGTTTCTTGGACCCATTTTAAGAAATAAACTTTATACGAACATATGTCCTAAACCTAAAATTTATTATTACCTAATTTTTGCACAGCAACTAGCGTACAAAATGATTGCATTTATTTTTTTATGTTAAACTATGAGTCGTACGAAAAAAAGTCAAGAAATCAAATTTGTTGAAATAAAAAAAACTGCCCTGTTCACTGTGCACTGTTGTAAAAAAAAAAATTAGCTCAAATAATGCTCTTTAATGCATAAACGCCGTAAACCAAGTTTCATAAAAATACAAAGCCTGAATACAAATTTGCAAACTTAAATTCAAATTTTGTGTGTCCCTAGATAAAGTTGACCAGATAAGAAAAATGGTTATTATTAATTTTACGACGAAAAGCCATTCTTTATAAAAAAAATTAACTTGTCGAGAAAATGAAATTCACATATCAAAACATTAAATAAGACGTATAGGGTGTTAGTGAATTAAGAAACAGGAAAAAATGTCAAGAAAGAACGAAAGAATTTATATTATCTTACATAAAGAAAGAATTTATTTATTATCTTACATTATTATTTACAAAAAAATTGCTTTTAATCTCTCTTTTAATGCTCTTTTTTTATAAAGAATTACTTTTTTTTGTAAAATTAATAATCATTTTCTCCTCTGGTCAACTCCATCCGTGGACACACAAAATTGGAATTTTAATTTGAAAATTTGTGTTCAGGCTTTATTTTAGATTATAAACAACTTTCTTTTATAAAAATTTTGTGTAAAATAAAAAATAATGGTACTTCTCTCTTGCGGTATTTTCATGTTTTCTTAATTTGGCAACACCCTGTAGACCCAATCTAAGATTTTTCAGTGTTATTCTCATTTTTAAAAGAAGCTAAAATTTTTATAAACAATGACTTTTTGTCGTAAAATTAGTAATAAAAATTTTTCTTCTATAGGCAACCCCATCCGTGGACACACTGTATACAAAGTGGTATAGAAATGACAGTAAAAAAATGATTTTTTTTCTTAAAACTTTAACACCCTATATCTCAAAAGTTAAAATGTTTAAGACATGGGCCTAAGAATCACCCCCTTCAGTATTATATAGCATGTTATTAAATAACATTCCTGTACATTGATTCAATAATTAAACACGTTCACTGCCTTCATTTTAATGTTTTATGTTTTACTCATTTATTAACTTGCTTTATTATTTCACTCAAACTTTATTCATTAATAAAAAAAGTGACAGAAGCAGAAATAATCATAATTTATAGTAGCTAATTTGTTATGAATCCTGTTAGAAAAGCCTTCTTGAAAATGTATTATTAGATCCTGCTGACTAATTTATTTGGCATCGTTTCGAACTTTGCGGTTTTACGCCCTAGTAAAGGCTTTTTGAAATTGATAGATACGTTATTGAAAATCGTTTCGATTCCAACAAAAACCGTGTCATCCTCGTGTAGTAAATGAGCTTAAAATCTATTGAAATTGAAGTCAAGTCAAAATTTTCTAGAAATTAGTTCCACTACCAGCAGGACCGGTCTTAAAGAAAGTTGCGTTTTGTTCATAATTATAATCAGTAAGGAGGAAAATTAGTAGATAATTGAAAATTGTAAGCATACAGAGGCATATAATATAATTTTTTAAATATATATGAATTAATTAACACAATACATGGATTGTTGTGTAAACGATGGAGAAAAAACGGCCCTGCTGGGTTCTGGGTAAAAATATGCCCGATTCCATTACAAATTGCGGTTTTTTGGTTAGTTACTTGTCTCTTAACTCTTTCTTAGATTAAAGCTACGTCATCGCAAAAAACGTGCTGTGGTTTTTGCTTAAATGTATCTATACGAAATAAAAACGTGTTCGTGTTTTTTTAAAAAAAAATATTACATTCCTACGTAAATTTGTTTTTTTTTTGTATAGGTAGGTACTAACAACAAAAGCTGTAATTTCCATTACAGTGAAAACTCGATTCACAGTAGAAAATATTTCTCTACAATTGGCAGTACGTAAGTACAATATACATATTGCTCTATTTTTCATTTCAACATAGATATATGGGTGCAACAAAGACCACTTCAATTAGACACTTATAAAGGAAAATGAAAGAGTGATATTATGTTTTTGCAACTTTCCACTTTGACAACTGCGTTATTTTAATAATCTATAATCTATAAATGCCCATGTTCCAATCGCAAATTAAGCACGGTGTATAAATGTTAGGGGAAACTGTCCGATTATGGGACGTAAAAATGGTAGGGTGGGAAATTGGGTAAATAAAAGAAAATCGATGTTTTAATGTATGACAAAATGAACATTTTTAACGTATAAATAAAGCAAAAATACAATATAAAAAACTATAAAATTTCAAGAACCTAAACACAGAACATGTGCCGCCATCTATACATATATTCTTGAACTACTTTGTAGATTTAATTTTCTCGTCCTCGCTTAATGCAGTTCTCTGTCTTACATATTACAGATTAATTGTATTTTCCTATAGATGGAGTTAGATACCGCTTAACACGTGACTATTTCATTCCAATTCTTTTAAGATACAGTTTTGTCAATATGTACTGGGTAAACAAATAATAAAATCGCGTAGGTTTTTGTATGTAGCAGATATAAGTATTTGTACGACTTTGTTATTACCTATAGTATCCCATTTATGTAATTAAGTTGAGTACCTAGTTAATTGAGATTTTCAAGTGTTCTTTCATTGTATAACGTATAACTGATTCGACAACAACCATTTCACCATTTTCAGTTTTCAGTACTGATATACAGTGTGTCTACTTAAGTTCGCACCATATGGAAAACTTTTTTATTATTAATTTTACGAAAAAAAGTTATTCTTCATAAAAAGTTCTGCATGTTTTAAAACCTAAAATACAATCATCAGATA